ATGTCTGTACGTGTTGGATGTGTGTTAAGGGTCTGTTAGTAGGTGCAAACTCTGAAACTCAGACAAGGGGCAGGCACTGGGATGGACGTGTAACTGTGTCCATGCATGTGCAGCAGAGGAGGACCTGGGAGGCGTCCTGCTCGTCTTGAGGGACACACTCATTCAACAAAGTTTCTCCGTGAACCAAAACAATCATGCTTCACACACAGAGACAGACAACACACTGATAATGGACACACTGTGGACTTGTGGGTCGCAGGGGGGGAGGGAGCAGACAAGCACCTCTTTGGTTCAGCTCAGGATGGCTCTCTGGTGCGTATGTCGTATTTATGAGTATTTGGTGCAGATGAAGACACCATGCAAACAAAAACCTTCTGAATATTTCCAATGCCAAGACCCCCTCCACAAAAAAAAAAAAAAAAAGCCAAACTTGCTCTTGCTCAGCTTTGGTCAACACCGTGGCCTGGCACCGAATAACCTGTTTCATTACTGCATAAACCTCACAATGTTCCTAAGCAACCTGAAGTGTCCAAGGTAACCATGTGTTATGAGCAGCGAGGAAAGTTTTTAGGTTTTACTTCAAGGGCAAAGACCAAAATTAATAGCAAAAAAGAAGGTTCAGAGGTTCCTGAGTAATGTGGTACTCAGGGGAAATAAATACAAAATTGAAAAAAAAAAAAAAAAATACAGAAAAAATCGTGGCGTGTGGATGAAGCTGCTTTCATACGAACAAAGAGGCGAAGCATTCAGCTTTAAGTCTTGTTGTTTCTGACTGCCAGCGGTTAAAATTCTCCTGAGGTGTGGTTTCAGGTGCAACACTTTGAAATTGACTTGAAACTGTCATTCAGAGGAGGTAGCCGAAGCACCGGTGTTATATTACTCCATAAGAAACTGAGAAACTATATTAGGAATGTTGTTCGGCGTCCACGACACCACACTGATGAGATGGCTGCCAACTTTGAGGGAACGTTCAAAGCAGTGGCGACCAATTAATTTTGTTTTCATACATCACTGTTTGGGCAACTTCCCCGTATTACATCACATTACAATAAATTGAGCGTTAGTTGCTAGGAAACTCCCAGATTCTGTGACGCGATCAAACGATTTCCAATATAAAATAAAGAAATGTTTCACCCTCGACAGCACGCTGTAATGAAACACAGGACTGCAGCCATAAGTAATTAATTGCTTGGCATAAGAACAATCTTAGGTTGTAGAAAAATGCAGCGAGAAAAGCGAGTCAGGGCACAAGGGGAGCTTTTCTTCCCCTCCACATGACATCAGGTCATTTTTAAAGCACATATGAGATAAATCCCACAAGTCAAATCCTCTACGTGCAAATCTGTTCTCCGTAAATTCTCAACCCTCCAACAGAAAACATCTCCTCCTACTCTTTGTTGCTGTTCTTTTTTCATTTTTTTCCCCTTAATAATCTCTTAATTGTGTTCCCTGTAAAGTGACAGTAACTGGAGACTCATGCCGACAGACCAAGGTGACATCTTCAAATGTTGTTTTGACTGAACAAAGCCGAAACATTTTCAGAGAAAAGCATCAAATCTTCACAATCCAGAAGCTAGGAATGGCAAAAATTTAACATCTTTGCTCAAAGTCCCTTTTGGGTCATTCATTAAAATACTAGAAACTCTTCTCTGTCATAGTTGCACATTTCGATTTCTTTTTTCATGAAAACAATCTCTTCCTACCAGCTCTGTACTACACAATCACTAGTTGTAATATTGGAGTAATTCTGCCATGCGTGTTGGAACCAGACAACGATTTTGAAGAATAATAAAGATAAGGAAAGCCTGCAAGTTGAGAGGATTGTCTCTTTAGCTTTGTTATGTCTGAAATCCTGACTGTTGGAATCTGCGTGTTGTTGAGACTGTCTTTGGCACTCTGCAGTTTCAAAATGGAAATCCTCCGTTGTTCAGCCTCCAATGAGCAGCCATTTCTTCCAGCATTTAAAAAAACACCATATGGACACGTTAACAAGGTAACAAGCGTGATTTTCACCAGAGGGGTTCTTGAAAATGTTGTTAAATGAATGTATTTTCCAAGTGAAACTCCAAGTGGTCTCCTGTGCCTGCCTCTCCTCCAACCACCTGCCTTTATGTGCGGTGCATAAATGCATTTCCTCCCTATTGTGTTTCTCCACAAAAATAAAACAAATTAGCTATGTACCTTCTAGGGCACAGGGTTGAGAATTCATACCGCTTTATGCAAAGCAAACCAGAATTGAAGCGCTATTTTTAGCAGCAGCATTGCGTAGGACGGCGTTCGCGCTGCAGAGCGAGTGTAGCTGGGACCATAAGGTCTCAATGACACCACAAACACAGGTGGCCGGCCCTCATCTGGCAGCAGCGTGAGGTCTGAGCTGGATGGAGGAGCTGGAGCCTGTTTGCCAGAGGACGCGAGCTCTCACAAAAGCAACAGAAAGAGACAAAGACACCTGGACAGGTCACCCTGGACCATCGATCAGAGCCTCCACAGCCAGACGGGCTGCTCTGGGGGTTGAGGCCCCGACGCAGGACAACATTTCCCTTGACCTGTTCGACAAGCCTGCTTAATTGTAAGTGGATCAATCGTGCTGCAGATAGCGAAGAGAATGAAACAGAGAGGTCCACTGAGTGTCATATTGATCGCCTTTCTAATGACCAAACCTGCCTCACACTCGTCTCCTCACAGACATCCAGCTACTGTGTGTGTGTGTGTGTGTGATGTTCAGATGTTCTGTAAATGGTAGTCGGATAGCTCACAATACGCAGCGTAACAATGAGCCAAAGCAAGTGCTCCAGTCTGAAGGTCTGCAGACAGCTGTGTGGACGCCACATATACATACGTGAAGGTAAAAATGAGACTCTGAAGACTCGTAAAGGTCAAACAGAGAGCAGACACTCAGGCATGGCAGTGGCTGGGATGGTAAGCATGGATGTACAAAGCAGGGAGCAAGGCAAAAAGATGCATAAAGGGGAGCAGTGGGAGAGAGAGGCAATGTGCAGGCTTCAAAGGTGGACACATAAACTGAAATGGAAGCTGAAAAAAGACACGCAAAGGTCATGGTTTCACTTTTCATCTGCGGCGTTTTTGTGATTTGATTTGGGAGATTTTAAAGAATCCCTGAATGAAAATGTTCTGTAGCTACATCCAGCGTGCAAAATCATGATTGTTCAATTTATTAAAAGGCAAAACAGGGAAAATGCACATTAAATTATGTCTTTAACGCCTGGCCAACAGTTTAACATGATAGTGTTCAATGACTTTAAAGAGAAATGCAGCAAAATCCTAAAATCTGAGAAGTTGGAACCAGTGATATTTGGCATTTTTTATGAGCCACGCTAGCAGTTTAGAACTATAACAATGCCACTTGGTCCCTAATTGCTCCAAACAGAGCACACGTCAACAGCCCTTAAGTCCAAAATCTGCAGGAAAGTCTAAAGCTTGACTCATTTTTATACTTAGTGCAACTCAGATATTTAGTTTAACTTTATTTCACTTCCAGACACTCTTCATTATTCATTTTTAAAATATCTTAACGCTCTGATTAATATCGCCTTTTAATATTTTAGTATCATTGTTATCCAAGTGCCTTATTTCTGTGCCAACATCTTTCATTTTCTTACATTGTTAATGAGCTCTCCATACCTGAGTTTAAATAAAGGTTGAATAAATTAAATGTTTCTGCTTTCACCATTAGGTCAAAATTTTGTCCAACACCCATAAAACTGACGTCTTTATTCCCAACAGCCTCATTAGTGCTAATTAGCAAAGGCTGTCACATTAAACTACGACTGTGAACTTGCTAAACCTGCTCACCCTCAGCATGTTGGGACTTTCACTGGTTTTAGCACTTAATAAATCCTGTTAATGGCTCCTGATTTATTCTTGAAATGACCACATTATAGTCAATTCATTCAATGTTCATTAATTAAATGATTGGGCTGCTGTTTATTTCAGAACTATTGTACATGATCTAGACTGTATTGGCTGAATCGTGTGAGGTTTACAACTTTTTAACACGAACATTGTGTGTGCATTGTGTTTAATCCTCTGAACTCGAAGCTGTTTTTTTGTGTCCTGTCACTTTGTTTTTAACTCACTAAGAGCATGGTTATAGTGCTGTAAATCATTAAAAAGGAAAAAAACCTGAAGTTGAATTTCTTTGATCATTTACAAAATTTCAAAAATCTGTTGCAAAGTTTTCCTTACGTGCTCATAGATGTCACTAACACTGAAGACAACGGTGCCTCTATACACTCTAAATATTCAGTTTTCTACATTTTAAATTAGTTTTCTACACTTGACTCCTTTCTGCTTTGTGTAAACACTTCCTGCAGTTCAACCAAAAAGTCACAGATTTTTGTTTCAGTGGTTGCAACTCATAGCTTCATGGTTGCACCGAGGACCAAATCATTTGTTTTTCATAGAATCTTGTTAAAGCAAATGGCTTTTTTAAAAAAATGTAGAATAAAGTGGATTTGATGAAATGTCACAGAAGAGTGCTTCAAGGACCGTCAGGACATTAAAACTCTGACAATCTGTTGTGCTTTTACAGCTTCTTGCTCTGATAAACGTGTCATTTTTGCACCTTTTTTAAAGATAAAATAATCTTTTCTAGTTTTACGTGTGAGATTTGGTTAAGTTCTGCAATGGAACGGTGCATCATAGATAAATCTGAAAAGTCGCTCTCATTTTGCTCTGATAAAATGGTGCAGTTTTAGCTATTGTTTTTTAAATACCGTGCTTATGGTTCAGTGGGTTATTTCAGTCTAAAATGTGCAAAAATACAAAATTAATCTGGAGGAGGATGATAAAGAAATGACTAAGACGAAACAGATCTGATTGCAGCCTTCTCTATTTAACACACATTCTGATCACTGTCAGTATCCAGCAGTTTTTAAACGATGCTTACTCACAGTTCAGCGCCATGTGAGCAAAATCTGACTTCCAGTTCATCCAGATTAAGTTAAAAGTGCAACCACAGCCTTTGTTGTCCCACAGATCACACAGGAGCAGTCTCGTAAAGGAAAACACTACGCAAGCCATGCAGTGTTGTGGTGGGAGCTGCGTGTCGACCGGGCTCAGACTCACTTCCTGGCTCGGTTCTGGACGGCCTGCTGCTGCTGCTGCTGCTGTTGCTGCTGCTGCTGCTGCTGGACCTGCTGGGAGGGGGCAGGCCTCTTACGACTGGGCTCCATCACCGGGGAGGGCAGGCCGGGCCGCACCGCCGGGCTCCCTCCGTACGGTGGGCCGGGGGGGCCCATGGGAGCTCCCTGGTGGGGCATCCTCGCTCCAGACGGCATGCCAGGACGCTGGGAGGAGAGTGGAAAGGATAGGGGTCATAAAAACATTCTCCACTGAGTTTCCTGATTAATTATAACCACAAATTAATGTTTCTAAAAATACAACAAAGCAAACACGAGATCAATGGTAACTTTGGTGCTTTTCCTGGATTAAAAGGTGGAGAGTTTTTCTGTGAACACACCTATCTTTTCTGACAAAATCATGAATTAGAGCTTCGACAAAGAGCTTCTAATCCAGACGCCACAGACTTGACCTATTAAAACACAAACAGCGAGTTCACAGTGCTACATATTTTGCCTGTCTCCTGTCTTTGGCAACCTCTGGCAACCTTTCAGCAATCAAACAACAGCAGCTTTGCGCAATTTAGTGACGTCAATTTACACGATTTCTGTTTGGAAATGTTTCCACGCCGGGCCACAAACAGGAAGATAAAACTGTTCCGTGAAGCTTAAAAAGGGAGGAAGGGATTTTTTTGTTGTGTTTTGTTTGTTAGATAGTGACATGAAACATGCAGCGTGTCATTTGGGCCCCTTTTGTGGTGTGAAAATAATGTGATACCGGAGCCTTGTTTTGTTTAAAGATACTAATTTCCACAAACTGCCAGCAACAAAAGCAACTGTGCCGAAAACAATCGCACACCCCTTGTATTCTTTCTTGCTCTCTTTATCTTCTCTAAACAAGAATCGTGTTTGGCAGCTGAAAAATAGACTAAATGGAGATTTTTCACAGTGTGCAAACTCTGCCACATGCACAGTCAACCACGCGCCTCCGAAACAATGCAAACAGTGTCAGAGCTCACAGTACCACGCTGCCGCCCTGACGCCTGGGAACAACTGGAGAACTCTCACCTGTGCTTGTCACTCCCATGGCAACAGCTGCCTCCCGCCTCGGTTTATTGTCTGAAACCAAGCAGGGGTTTTTGTGCGAGAGAAAGAAATCGTCTGACTGCTGTCTGTAAAGGACCCCACCAGAACACATCTACTGAGAATAACCAGCCCTCTAATTAAAATGAAATTACTTTAACTCGTCGACGGAGAAGAACAGAGGAAGGATTCAGATATTGCGATGTAAAATATTTTTACTACCACCAAGACATTGACGTATCAGTGATTTTATTTTATATATGTTGGCACAGATACCAAAACAATCAGGGTGGTTTATTAGATTAATTCATTCTTTATTCTACACCTCTAGTGGTAAACCTAAACTAAAACGCTCATGCTTTGCCTTGAGGATTTGCAAAATTTCATCATTGTGTTGCTGTTAAATGTGTCTAAAATGAAATGTAAGTATTTTTTCAATTTCAGAATGCCAACATTTTCTTTTCATGTGAAGTGTACAATTATTTTTCTATAGCAGCAGCACTTTCAACACCACCACGTCATGTGAGTGTATATATTTATCCACTATATAGTCCCTGTAAAAGTTATATGATGGAAGGAAAGAGTAGACTGCAGCCACTCCCCTCATCCATCCATTCATTCACTGTTCCCTTCATTATAAAGGAAATAGTTCACTAAAGAGTGACCAGTAATTCAGATTTCTATCATCTGTTTGTGCCAATCTGTTGAGTCGCACAGTTGATTGACTATCGATTGTACATATAAATTGTATAGATCCACTTTTTGGGGTTGCTGTGAGTCAGCGTACCTTTTGAATAAAAATGATCTTTTTCTGGACATTGTACACATCATAGAAGAAGAACTTTTAATTCACTGCAGCAATTCACTACACCACTCATTCTTGTTTGGCAGTATACTTAAAGGAAGCATTTTTACAATACTTAAAGTTTCATAAATGTTAAATTATGACCAACTAATACAGGAAACCAAGTTAGAAAACAGATAGGACTTTTTCCCCCAGCAGGCCGGCTATGGGGTTGTTCTATCGGTTCAATGCAATCATATTTTTTGTGATTTTCCCTGCATATAAACATCTTAGTCTGGAATCTCGTTGTTGTAGGTCTTAGCAAGACTGTTGTTTCAGAATTGAATCCCCCCCCCCTGTTTGTGAATAACTCTTTAACCACCTTGGGACTGCCAGCTATCTTTTAAAAAATTGCCAAAATTCAAACATTTATCAGGAACTGCAAGAACAGAATCATCACATTTTAACTTTCCATGAGTCTTCGAACTAATCACGTGTAGTGGGAAAATTAACCCAATGTAAGCTTAAAGTCATGATATTTCACCAAAATCACTTCAGTCTACATGTCTCATATAAAAAAGTTGCTATAAATAATTAGCCGACTCCGTAAAAAACAGATTCTGTTGCTTTACCTTTTCACATTAAATCTTCCACAACACTGATCAATTTGAAATCCTTGTGTAACATTCACTACTTTGTCTTGGCATATAATTCAGTCTGAGTAAACCTGATTGTTTACTTTTTGATCATCTGATTGTCTAGTTTCCTGTTTCTGTCCTTAAAACGTTGTGTACAACTTGTTGGGCTCTAAAGACAAACTAGACTTAACTTGAGTTAACTGGCAAATAGCTGTCAAACCAACGCAGCAGAGAAAAAAAATCCAATACTTCCCCTAAATAAAATATGATGGAGTTAGACGTATAAATTAGAATAAAAATGGAAATAAAGAAGCAGAGTGCAAGCATTTCAAATATGTGCCTCATAAAGTGCATATTTAGGGTGTTTTTATGTAAAGCACATCGAGTTTCGCTGTAATTGAATGAACTTCATAAATAAAGCTGCCTCGCCTTGAGTAAAGCTATTTGCAATGTGAGCACAAATTGATCTATAAATATGAAAATCCTTGTCACATTTTAAAATATGCTGCGCGTGTATTCTTCTGCACCTTTCTATTATTCAAAAAAGTATATATGACGTTGCTCGTTAATTATGTGCTTCATTGAGTGCGTGATGGGACATTTTAAGGGAAATGAAGGTTATCGTTTGTTTTAATTACATTTTTATTTGAGTGCTACTAATAATATTCCAACTTCTGTGGTCACACAATAAGACCTTTCCATCGCAACTACGCGCATGTGAATCGTGCTGTTTGGAGCCGTGAAAGCTTCAAATTTTAACCCTCGAGCTTGCGAAACCGACGAAAAAGTCTCTGAAACTGCAGCTCCATTTGCTGAGAGAATGCCGGAGAAAGAGGACAGCTGAAGGATACAGATCAGGGCTTTCATAACCTCACGTATGCTCGCATTTTTCCAACATTTGTCACCTCTGAGTGCGGATTACTGCACGTACATACACACGACTGAAGTGATCTTTAGACTGTCCACAAACACACCGAAAACAAACAAAGAGGGAATAAACAGCGGGGAGGGCACAATAAGAAAGATATTAAATCGAGCTAAAAAAATGCAAAAAAGCATTCATTCAAAGGGGAGGTTTAATAACTCAGAACAGATTATGGCAGCGTACGACGGGCAAAAGACTGACGTATTATGTGCCCTTTGAAACGGGCCGAGCAGAGATCCAGTGATAAGCAGCCCGAGCAGACGCTGCTGTCACTCTGGCCGGGAGTTTGGTCGCTGAGGGGGAGGGGACGCAGGGGGGGTCACAGCAACTGAGAAGGGCCTCCAAACAGGAGAGGATAAAACAACATATGGTCGTGGGGGCCTCCTGCTCGAATGTTGTCACCTTGTGCAGTCTTAGGAGACCTCCTTCTTTTACTTCCCATAAGCTGGACAACAACACCAAAACAGGCTAGACTTCCAGCAGACAGACCCACCCAGACAGACACACCACCACCAGCGCCGCCGCCGTTACTGCTGCTGCTGCTGCTACAACCGTCTGTCTGGAGAATTCGAGCCTTCCAGATAACAGATACAGAAAACCATAGCTGGATAATGTAAATCCACACACACAATGAGCGCTACTCTATAATCTGACCTGCTGAACTGACTCCAACACTCTGCCCGGAGCTCTGCCAGCCAGCCAGCCAGCAATCGAATCTGCCATGTGGATGGATATCTGAGAAGTGTGTTGGCATCTCTGGGAAGGCTGGAGGGATTTGAAGAGGCCAAACTTAACCCACACTGTACTAAACATATGAATCTGTGGGTTGTTACAAGGATGGTCCCTTAAAGGCTTCGATTGGAGCCCTGAAATCTATTAAAAATACTGAGGATGAGGTTCCTTCAGCGGGATACGACTTGTTTCATAAGATATTCAGTTCACTATGACAAAATCAATCCTCGCTTCTTTTTATTATGCTGCTAAATTCTCTGCCGTGGATGTGACAGTGAACAATGGAACTCATGAATTCAGCTCATTCAGGAAACAATTAGAGAGCATTACCATCCTAATCAGCAATTTTGTTTAAATATTACTTCCAGATTTCCATCTTATGCTCGTAATTATGGAGATCAGTATTAACGCATTCAATATGAGGATTCGTCAGTGGAAACGAACAGATGAAGGTGTCGTTTTACACGTGTTTTGCCCGATAAAACAACATTAATTAGATTATTCTGCTTGTGCATACAAACGCAGACAACAATTAAGACCTGGAATGATCAGGGGAGTAATTAATTAGCTGATTAGTTGATGGTTTCCGTCCTAGTTTGTGTATCAGACATGCTCTAGTGCCATGCAACATACAAGGATGAGTTTTTAGGAGTTTAATCAATGACCAAGGATGGACTTGAAGCAAAATGTCAAAAAAAATTTGCTGTTTCTAGCTTCTCTAGTGTTTTTCTTTTTAGTGTTTCCATTTAATCATTTGTCAGACACGTGCATCCAAAGCAGAGCTGCAAAATAATACTTTCATTATGTTTTCAATTAGTCGATTCACGGCAAACAGTGAATGTCTACAGATCAAGGTCTTCAGCGTCTTCAAATCTTTTGTTTTGTCTGACTACAACCCAGGCACAATTAGAGAAAATCATCAATTCCTCACATTCGAAAACTAGAAACAGCTTCTTTTTTTTTAAACATTTTGTGCTTAAAGGTATTGATTAAACCCCTATGAACTCAGTCAGAATTTTTTTTCCATGAAAACAACCCCATCCTGCCTTAAAATGGCTTCAATTCT